AGCCCCAGCCTGCTGCCTGAGAGCCTTTCTGGGCTGGTGCTTCCTGGGGCAGCTCCTCCCCCACCACTGCCCAGGCCTCAGGGCAAGCCCCCTCCTACTACGCCAGTGCGGTGAGGGACCAGCTGCTGCCCTGGCCAGGCCCCTCGTCCCAGGGCACCTCCAAGTGCGGGGGCCGGTGCCCTGAGGGGCTTTGGCCCCGCTCGACGAGCCCAGCCGGGGGAGGGCTCCTTGGTCCATGGTGCAGGCACGTGCTGCCTGGGGCCCGGCACTCGCTCTGGGCACGCCGGGAGGCATTGCGGGCAGTACTTGGGCGGAGGTGCCGCTCTCCCCTGGAAGCCGGAGTGCCGACTCACCAGGCTGCCTGGGGGGGCTGCTGCCTGGAGGCCCTGCAGCCAGAGGCTTGGGCTGAGCCCCACCTGGCAGCCATGGGGGTAGGTTGGGAGTCCTCCCTCCAGCCACAGCAGGGAAACCTGAGCCCTGGTGGGCAGCAGTGAACTGGGGGGGGCTGAGGCACTTAGGGTGCAAAGGCATCGTGGCCCCGGCTGCTCCCCAGGCCCCTTCCAGGCCCAGGACCTGCTCCCCAGCCCTTGGGCTCCCCGGCTGCACACTGCAAGAGGGAGAGCTGCCTCTCCGGCCCTGCCCGCCTCCCCATGCAGGAGCAGGGCAAGGCCAGCCAGGAACTGCAGCTGCAGGGATCCTGCCCCTGGGCCCACGGGCCGCTCTCCCTATAGGAGACTGTCCTCGTCGTAGGACGGCTGGGAGGGGCTCCCAAAACATGGGCCCCAGGGCGGCCACCCTGACTCCTGCCCAGCGGGGGCTGCCTGCGCTGTGCACCCAGGCAGGGCGGGGGAAGGTTGCAGGGCCCACGCCTGGATCACTGCCGACCAGGGTGCCAGCCTCCCGCCCGCGTGCTTCGACCGTTGGGCTCGGCCGGCTCCGGCTGCGGGTACCACGTCCGATCACTGCCGACCAGGGTGCCAGCCTCCCGCCCGCGTGCTTCGACCGTTGGGCTCGGCCGGCTCCGGCTGCGGGTACCACGTCCGATCACTGCCGACCAGGGTGCCAGCCTCCCGCCCGCGTGCTTCGACCGTTGGGCTCGGCCGGCTCCGGCTGCGGGTACCACGTCCGATCACTGCCGACCAGGGTGCCAGCCTCCCGCCCGCGTGCTTCGACCGTTGGGCTCGGCCGGCTCCGGCTGCGGGTACCACGTCCGATCACTGCCGACCAGGGTGCCAGCCTCCCGCCCGCGTGCTTCGACCGTTGGGCTCGGCCGGCTCCGGCTGCGGGTACCACGTCCGATCACTGCCGACCAGGGTGCCAGCCTCCCGCCCGCGTGCTTCGACCGTTGGGCTCGGCCGGCTCCGGCTGCGGGTACCACGTCCGATCACTGCCGACCAGGGTGCCAGCCTCCCGCCCGCGTGCTTCGACCGTTGGGCTCGGCCGGCTCCGGCTGCGGGTACCACGTCCGATCACTGCCGACCAGGGTGCCAGCCTCCCGCCCGCGTGCTTCGACCGTTGGGCTCGGCCGGCTCCGGCTGCGGGTACCACGTCCGATCACTGCCGACCAGGGTGCCAGCCTCCCGCCCGCGTGCTTCGACCGTTGGGCTCGGCCGGCTCCGGCTGCGGGTACCACGTCCGATCACTGCCGACCAGGGTGCCAGCCTCCCGCCCGCGTGCTTCGACCGTTGGGCTCGGCCGGCTCCGGCTGCGGGTACCACGTCCGATCACTGCCGACCAGGGTGCCAGCCTCCCGCCCGCGTGCTTCGACCGTTGGGCTCGGCCGGCTCCGGCTGCGGGTACCACGTCCGATCACTGCCGACCAGGGTGCCAGCCTCCCGCCCGCGTGCTTCGACCGTTGGGCTCGGCCGGCTCCGGCTGCGGGTACCACGTCCGATCACTGCCGACCAGGGTGCCAGCCTCCCGCCCGCGTGCTTCGACCGTTGGGCTCGGCCGGCTCCGGCTGCGGGTACCACGTCCGATCACTGCCGACCAGGGTGCCAGCCTCCCGCCCGCGTGCTTCGACCGTTGGGCTCGGCCGGCTCCGGCTGCGGGTACCACGTCCGATCACTGCCGACCAGGGTGCCAGCCTCCCGCCCGCGTGCTTCGACCGTTGGGCTCGGCCGGCTCCGGCTGCGGGTACCACGTCCGATCACTGCCGACCAGGGTGCCAGCCTCCCGCCCGCGTGCTTCGACCGTTGGGCTCGGCCGGCTCCGGCTGCGGGTACCACGTCCGATCACTGCCGACCAGGGTGCCAGCCTCCCGCCCGCGTGCTTCGACCGTTGGGCTCGGCCGGCTCCGGCTGCGGGTACCACGTCCGATCACTGCCGACCAGGGTGCCAGCCTCCCGCCCGCGTGCTTCGACCGTTGGGCTCGGCCGGCTCCGGCTGCGGGTACCACGTCCGATCACTGCCGACCAGGGTGCCAGCCTCCCGCCCGCGTGCTTCGACCGTTGGGCTCGGCCGGCTCCGGCTGCGGGTACCACGTCCGATCACTGCCGACCAGGGTGCCAGCCTCCCGCCCGCGTGCTTCGACCGTTGGGCTCGGCCGGCTCCGGCTGCGGGTACCACGTCCGATCACTGCCGACCAGGGTGCCAGCCTCCCGCCCGCGTGCTTCGACCGTTGGGCTCGGCCGGCTCCGGCTGCGGGTACCACGTCCGATCACTGCCGACCAGGGTGCCAGCCTCCCGCCCGCGTGCTTCGACCGTTGGGCTCGGCCGGCTCCGGCTGCGGGTACCACGTCCGATCACTGCCGACCAGGGTGCCAGCCTCCCGCCCGCGTGCTTCGACCGTTGGGCTTGCCCGGCTCTGGCTGCGGGTACCACGTCCGATCACTGCCGACCAGGGTGCCAGCCTCCCGCCCGCGTGCGCCCCTGGCCCTGCCCCCCTATCCACAGCCAGACGTGACTCCCAGGAGAGGAGAAGGTTTTACTTCTTCCCGGAGACACTGCCCGGCATAGGAGCGGTGTTAACAGCCACGGAGAGCAGACAGCCTTCTCCACCTTGGGGGAAGGGTTCATGGGCCCCGAGCCCCCTTTCCTGCTCTGTCTGCCCTCCTCATCCTGCCCAGCTGAGCCTGACCCAACTCCCAGCTCTACCCCCCGGCCCCGCCCATCTTCTTTTGTCCTCCCCCTGGCTGCTCAGGCTGGGCCCAGGCGTAGGGGCCAATGCTCATGCGGGTGAGTCATGGGAATCGCACAGCCCAGCCAGATGGGAACTTGTGGTTACGAAGCAGGCAGCCCCCGCTAGGGCACAGCCTGGAACGGGTTTGCTGCTTACGCCTGTCTTGGGCCCCCGAGCAGCATGACGCAAGTGCCCCACGGCCCAGCTGCTGGAATCGAGGAGAGGCGCCGGAGCCTCGCTCCTTTTCTCCCCGGGAAGCCCGGGCCGCTACTGCCCTCTGGGCCCCGCCCAGCAGGCTGGGGCTGCTTCT